GCCATCTTAAAAGGCTGGAGACATAATTCAGTGTCAAGGCCTTGCATTCAAGCCTCAAGAAGAAAAAAAAATCAGACATGTGCCCAAAGCCTGCCTTCTCCACTGGGCCGAAGCATCTGGCACCCCACCTGCTTGGCAGGGCACAGGAGCCCCGTCCCCTCTCGGGAGACGCCAGAAGCCCTGGCAGTGAGCTGGGTTTGGTGGCCTGCAGCCTGACTCCTCAGGTCATGGCACTCTCTCCAGATCACGATCTTCTGGAGCCGACGTCTTCAGCCACGCCAAGGCCTCGCCACCCATCCTGGGGTATCCGAGTCACGCAAGTTCCAGTAGACACAGTGTGCTCAAGGGTACCTGAGCCAACTGTTACCAGGGGAGGGAGGACTCGAGGGGACACAGTAAGGCTGCCAGGAGGAGCACCTGGACGGAGCAAGGGCCACCCCAGCCATGTAAGCCAGCCATATCCCATGTAGCTAGCACCCAGAGGATGGTGTGGCCAGAGCCACAGAATGGCCATGGGGCCAGACCACAAAGGATACAGAGGGCAGAAGTGTCAGCAGCTCTGTCCTGACTGACTTGAGTGCTTTGGGAGAAACAATCACCTGAATCTCTCTGGTGCAATCAGCTGAAAGTTCACACAGGCCCGCACCAATCCTGAGTAACTTAGTCCTCACAGGATATACCCAGGAGCAGAGTAGGGCATGCTGGGAGCCAGAGCCACTGAGCAGCAGAGCACATCCAGGAGAGGGCATCTCGGAAGGCTCAGATGCGCACCGCTAAGGGCGTTCGGCCACCACTCGGGAGTATGCTGTTGGACAAACATGACAAGCCACTCTGGTATCAAACTGACGACTTCATCTGCCTTGTGCTGATTTAACCTGCGGGCCAAGGTATGCTACAGTTTGTATCTGCAGTGTTTCCCACAGGGCCTCAATGGGTGGTGCCCCAGGAGAGGATCCTGTGAGAGAGGACTGGTGGAAGAAGACCTGGGACCAGCCCTCTCTTTGCTTTCTATGGCCACCAGGTGTGCAGCATCTCCCCCACATGTGCCCACACCCGGTGCCACCTCACAGGGGTTCAAAGCATGAGCAAACAGCCAGGCTGAATCCTCGCAGACTGCATGCTTAAACAAACTCTTCTCACAAGCTGATTGTCTCGGGGGTTTTGTTATAGTAATGTAAAGCTGACTAGCACAGGACGGTGTGTTTGGTATTTTAGGTTGATAAATGAAATGTTTTTAGTATAACTACTTACAGACATTTGAATAAGAAAGAACACTGCTTCCAATTAAGACTATAAATAAACTACTGACAACTTATAGACCTTGCCATAAAAAATAAAGTTATAAAGGTATTAGAAATAAAAGATGGGGCTGGGGAGATGGCTCAGTAGAACAAGTGCTTGCCTGACGAAGCAAGGGCCTGAGTTCAATCCCCAGTTCTGAAAAAAAAAAAAAAAAAAAAAAAAAAAAGACATCATCAGTTAAGAAGGGAATTGTAGGGACCGGGGAGATGGCTCAGTAGAATAAGCACTTCCCTGGCAAGCGCAAGGGCCTGAGTTCAATCCCTGGTTCCACAAAAAAGAAAAAAAGAAAGAAAAAGAAGGGAAAACTGCAAATAGTAAATGAACAAGATGACGCTTACTAGTTTCAGTAGTAATCAAAGACACACAAACTCAGTGCGAAAGGCATCGCCAGGTCTCTGCCGTTGGTTCTCCATTACCTGGCGCACTCAATGGGGACGGAAGCTGCGGGACAATGACACTAGAAGCAGCACAGGGCTGCGCTGTGCCCCTCCCCACTGGGGCCCCAAGCCTTAGCCTGATCCCTGCTGCTCCTCCTCCTGCCTCACCTCCCCACTTCCAACAGTGCGCCACTGCACAGGTGAATTTAGCAGCCATGTGGCTCAGGTAAGACAGACCCAGCCCAGCCCAGGCACCCGCGCGCCCTTTGACAAGCAGCACAGCACCCACTGCTTTCTGCTGTTCGCTTCTCGTCACTGTCACAAGTGCTCTCATGCCAGCCGAAGGTGGTACCAGAGCCATTTCTTAAAAATGAGGCAGTTGTTTATATGCTGACCTGGAAATACCCAAAATGGATGAAAAAAAACCCATATTCTAAGGAGCAGTGAGATAGCTCAGCGTCTCAAGTGCCTGTGTAGGCAAGCTTAGGCGAGCACAGGGGCCGTAGTTTGATCCCCAACACCAGGGTGGGCTGTGATGGCCACACAAACAAACAACATATTCTAGAACAAAATACATAATCTTTTATGGAAAAGATTAAACATACACATGACATTGTTGAATAATGAAAAATGTTTCAAACAGGACATACATGAAACACCAACAGGAGCACCTCTGGAGAGCAAGCGTGGGAGCCGGGGGACTTCTTGTCCTTTCTGTTTGCTGGTTTAAACTCTAAGCATGCAGCACTTTTATGACTCAAGCTTAAGTATTTCCATACAATTGGGGGTGTGTGTGTGTGGGAGAAACACAGAGCGGAAAGAGCAGATCACTCAGACAGGCCTTGAGTCCATGGGGGATGCTGCTCCCTTCACCTTTGGGTACATCAGAAAACGTCCACAGTGAAAGGTGGCATGGTAAGCGACAACATGACAGAGTTTCAATCTGGGGTATGTCCCACACATAGCTTTAGAAGGAAACCAACAATCAATGTGCTCTAAGCTGGATGCAGGGGCCAGACAGAAGTTCCAAGTTCCTGCAGACACCAGGATTTTTTTTTTGGGGGGGGGTATTGGGCATCAAACTTGGGCCCTTGTGCTTGGCAGGTAGGCAATTATGCTACTGAGTTATATCCCCCGCCCCAACACCAGGATCTTATGAGATTTAGTTAGTTGAATTTTCAAACTGCAACCAAAAGAAAGCAACACTGTAGCATAGGTGAAAAATGCATCAAAATAGAAAAGCTTATTATTTTATTTTGAAAACCCAACACACAGCACACCGAGGTACAAAAAGCAGAGCAAAGTGCTTCCGTGCATCCCTGGCTCCAGCAAAGAGAAGCGCGGAGCCCAGCAGAGACAATGGAAGTCAGAGTCCGGCGGAACACAAAGGTCAGCAGGGCAGACTCAGTGGAATACATGAATACTAAGCAAGCTGCTTCCCATGGCCTCGGGAAGAGGCACAGTGCATGTGAAACAGAAGCTGCAGTGGTGATAGGATCGGTGTCCGCAATCATC